TCTCCATGCTAAGGAATTCTGGTTGTGGGAAGCACATTTTATCTTTCGGGTTTCCTGAAAAAGATGTGGCCCAGAATCTTAATGACCATTTGCCATTTGTTGACAGCACACATAAAATCGTCCCTCTAACTGCACACGTCTCCATCCCCAAGGCAAGGCGGCTGACCACTCGTGTAGGTGTGGTTGTGAGAAGATCCAGAATTCATGCCTGGTTCATCTCTGATCCCAGAAGCAGCAGTCTGACCCGGAGAAATTAATGATGCAGTGGACCCTTGACTTACAAACTCAGTTCATTCTTGAGGGCTGGTTGTAACTCAGGTTGGTCAATTGAAGGCTAATGCTCCTCTACACAGCCTTCAAAGTCTCCTGTACACAGGCAGATCTTCGTCCTTGGAGAGACATTGGCCCTGGATTTCTCAACCCCACACAGGAAAGGATGCTGTAATGTTCCTTCCAGAACTCTTTAAGGGTTAATTCTGTATCTGAGACCATCTGGAAGCACAAGTGGCCGCCATTTGGGTCATAACTCAAGACTTTGTTTGTAAGTTGAAAACTTAAGATTCCTGAAGAACTTGCCAAAGCTACATTGCTATGGCAGCAACCTCTGAATCCAAGACACCCAGGTGTCCTGATCCAGTGGACTCCTCCGGAAGGCATGTTGGTGAAGCCTGGGGCCCTGCACGCCAACTGAAGTGGATTAAACCCGACACTGCTCCATCCTTGCTGTGTCGTTGTCAGACACATCCTTCTGGAAGCCTTGATTTCCTCATTCAATCTTTCTAAAAAGTAGGGTGTGTGTATCTATGATCTATCTCAGGGTGTCTCAGGTTAAAACAAGATGCTATGTTTAGAGTATTTCAAAGTGCCAGGCACATGATGCGTGTTTGAAACTATTGGTTATTATGATGATGGTATTAGGTATCGAGAACAATCAATATTGCTTCCAAACTCAAGGCAACTGTGGGATCAGAAATGTTTTATTTGTTTTTATTAGCACATGATTCCAGCACATGATTACCTCCCTTGTGGGGAGCATGCACATAACACATTTCAATTGTTTCTTCATTCCCTTCCCTCCCCTCCTCTACTCTCCCCCCCATCCTTTGATCTCCTTCCCACTTGAGAAAGATCTATCTCCCTACTTCCTATTATCTATCTTTTGTTTTGCTCTTTTTTCTACTTTTGGTTTCTCATATAAGAGAAACCATGCCATATTGAAGCTTGTGTGTATGGCTTATTTCACTTAACATTATGGTTTCAAGGTGTGTATTTTCCTACAGATGACTCAAGTTTATCCTTCTTTATAACAGAGTGGTACTCCATTGTGTGTAAATATCACATTTCTTTTATCCATGCATCTGCTGATGGACCTATAGGCTGCTTCCAAGATTTAGCCATGACAGAATCTGCTCACACTGACAAATAAGTACAGGATGCCTCCTCCATTCTCCCTTTAAGCAGAGGCTCACTGACCCTTGGGTGCCCACCCAGCCCAGCTCCACTCTGAGCGTTGTCCAAGCTCTCCTAGACCATGCTGGGTGCTCATGGCTCCGTCTCCAGCCCATCTCTTGATAGGCCCCTGAGGGTAGCACTGAGGTTTATGGATTCTGGAGAAACCATAGGCTACCATCCAGATGTCTTTTCCTCAAGAATATGCAGAGAATCCAGCTTCAGACAATTTCAGCATAGCTCCATGAGACTGGCCTCTTTCATCCAGGGATATATGGCGGGGGGGGGGGGGTCAGTGCAGCACACACGTGTGTATTATGTGTGTTTTGTGTGTGTTGTGTGTGTTTGAGGACCCCAGTGGATAGAGGCATCTGGGGCTTAGCCTGAGGGAGAGCTGCTTCCCAGGAGCTAATGCTGTGCTCTCACCTGCTGTCGACACATCTGTCCCTTGGGCTGCTGGGAAGCCTGAACTGCATTTGCAGCCTGTCCTAGCTCTCAGTGGAACCTTTAAGTCTTGTCTGTGGTATTAAATTTTCTCCTGACTTGCTTTCATTTTGTGGCCTTTTCTCACCCGTTTAACCTGGGTCTGTTCATCTGAATGTTCGTGGGTATCTCCCCAAGGTGACCTCGAATCCTGTTGTCACATGAGGTCGTGTGTCAGCTTATGCAGGCACGACTGCTGGGGCTGTGGTAAGTTTGTGCTCTGGATCCTGAAGCCAACCCCTCTGTGAGCACAAGGTTGCGTGTTTGTAACTCCTTTGTCATTATTTCCTTTAATTCATCTTAAAACAGGAACCGGGGTCAGCGATGGAGCACAGCGTAACCGCAGCTGATGAAACCTCAGCTCCCTGCCCAGCCCAAGCCCAGGTCTGCAAATCTGGCAGCAGCAGGAAACAGAGCAGTGGCCACAAGAGGCCTCTGGGATAGGATATGCTATTCTAATGAAAGCACCCGTCCTTTTAGGGATTAAGAGAATTCATGACCCTCAGAGATCAGCAGGTGAGGCATCCTTTGGGCAAACAGTCCCAAAATGCGCAGATGAGAAAGAAGCAGTGGGCGTGGGGAGCGTCTCCTGCTTCCCCCGGCCCCCAGACCCTTTTCTTTTCAGAGGAGGGCGGGTGGGGGGCGCTTGTCCTGAGCTGAAGCAAGGACTGTGTCTTTCATTTCTAAAGAGCGGGCGGCGAGGCCGAGGCAGAAGTCCCGTGACACGACTCGGGACACAAAGTGGTATCTTAGCATCGAAGACCCCCTTTGACAAGAAGAAGAAAAGCCCCTTTCTTCCCAGCCGGATTAGGAGAGGAGGGAATTCTCTGGAACGTGTGTGCATTGTTCCTCCCAGGGCAGCCTGCCCGGCAGGGCTTCCTCCCAAAGTCAGCCCAAGGGAGCTTGTCCCCCGTGTAATTAAAAGGGAAGGGACACAGCGGGGAGTCTTGTTCCGCTGCTGCCCACCAAAGTGGGGTCCCCAGGGGGGATGGTGTGGCCCAGGAAATTGGCTAAATTAATGGTTCTGGGAGGCCCCTCTGAATGCCTGGGCCCTGAGGCAGAGAGAGGGCAGGGCAGGGGTCTCTTCAGAGCTCTTCGGACAAAAGAGGGACAGAGAAGCTCTAGAGCAGAGGGGCTCAGCTCCTCACCACCTCACTGGCGGGCCAGGCTGCCCGGGGGCCATAGCACCTGCAGCCAGGGCTCAGCACCCCCGAAGCAGAGGTGCGAGCCTTGTCCAGGCGGCCGTTTGTCCAGCTGATGCAGGCTGGCCCCTCGCTTTCTCCAGCTGATGTCCAGGCAGGGAGGGGGAGGTCACAGGTCGTGGCCGGGAGGGAGGCCCTGGAGCTTAAGAAAGAGGGAGCAGCCCCTTCCCTTGGCAACAGAATTTCTGGAAAGCAGGCTCTTGTATTTGTCAATGGTAAAGTGTCTCACTCAGAAATGATTTTGAGAAGTGAAACCATGAATGGGAGGCTGACAAGCTTGGCATGCGCAGGGTCTAAGCTTCTCTTGAAAAAGAAGTTTCTTGTTCTTATGAAAAGGAAAACATTGGTTATGAAGAAATACTTTCTACGCCAGACGGTGCTCAACGCCTATAATCCCAGCACTTGGGAGGCAGAGGCAGGAGGGTCACCAAAAGTTTGAGGCCAGCCTGGGCCACAAAGCAAGTTCAAGGCCAGCCTGAACTGCATAGCAAAATCCTCTCTCAAAAAAACCAAACAAACACACAACAAGAAAGAAATACTTTCCAGTTGTCATTTCCTGGAAAACTCAGTTGGAGAAGGTGGACTTCAAGCTTCATGTTTCCCAGCCTCCTCTTTCCCAAACCTTTTGGATTGCATTTCCAGGACGTTGAGGCAGCTTTCCCCAGCCTCTGGAAACCCTGACTCCCCTCCGACGCCTGACCCTTGGGCCACACAGGAAAGATAAGGGTGACCACAGGCACTGGGACACGGAAGGCCCCGCACGTCACCCAAGGAGACTGTGGGGAGCAGACTGCCCGGACACTCAGGTTTTCCTGGGAAGCAATGACTGAAGTCAATATCTCAAAGACAAGGTGGCTCTTCTGACTCCGCAAATATTGGGCCAGGGACTTGAGTGCGGCCCCACTGTTGACAGCTATGAGATGGTGGCATTGTTGTCTTTGTTACCATGAAGTGCAGCTCGGCGCAGCCTGGCCTGACGCCCTGTGTACACAGAGGGCTGCACCCGCCAAGGCCCACGTGTTTGCAGGGCCAACATGCAGCAGCAACCACCCTCACCTCCCTGGCATGGTTACAGCCGGGACCTCGGCCACAGGCTGCTTGTCCTCTCTCCAGAGTTCATTTTCTGTGAGCAACCTTATTAATAATGTAGCGCACACACCCCATCTATGCAGACGAATGAATTTTCATAAACCGGTATCAGTCGCCTGGAGGTTTCTGACATCCCAAGACGCAACTGTGCCCCCACTCCAGGTGCTATCTGCAGCAAGCAGAGCCACCCCACTCACTTCCAACCTAGATCTGTCTCTCCTGCTTCAAGCCCCAGGATTCTGAAATCTTTCCCTGCCCTCCGAAGGCCGGGACAACGTGTGTTGGTCCAGCAGGACGTAGTCACAACCCAGCCAGCCGTAGCTCTGCTCATAACTTCAGCCGGGCTCCTTGGGCTCTGCTGGGAAGGGTCGGCTCTGCTAAAGGACAGAAATGGCCTTTGTGTCTCCTGGGCCTTCGCAGCGCCCACAGACAGTCCCAGGCTGCCCGGCCCAGGCCTCAGGTGCCCACCAGCCCATCGGCTGCTCGGAGAAGGTATTTCCTGCCTCCTGCCCACCTCGCCTGGTCCTCCGGGGCCCACTCGGTCTTCCGAGCATTCCAGGTAGATGTGGAGCGGAGGCTGGGGCATCCCTGGGGACACGCTGTGTCCACGCTCCTGCTCTTCACGGAGCCCACAGCCTTTTCGAGGCATGAGGAGGAGATGGGGCTGGAGGGTGTTGGGAGCGAGGGCTGGCAACAAGAGTGGGCCCTCAACCTCCTCAGTCACAGCAGGGGAAACTGAGGCTTCAGTGGGGAGAGGAGATAAGGCCAGGCAGAGGGTCCCTCCTTCACCACGCCCAATGCTAGCAGGCTTGAAAGGACTCTGTGACCCTTGTCAAGGGCTAAAACAATTCAGCCCTCTCCCCACCTCGGAGACACCACACACACAGAGCAACAGCACAAATAGACAATCGCTTCCACCTGTCGGGATTTCCTATCTCATCTGTCTCCCCTGCATTTACATCAGGCTCCCCAGCTGCTGCTGCTGAATTGGCCTCACAACAGCATCAAGGCCACCGTACCCTGCTATCACACGCTCTGTCTTACACAAGGGGCCAAGGGCTGCATCTGAAATTTGCAGGCCAAAGAGCTAGAGTCCAGGGCCGCAGCTCCAGGCCCGGCCTGACTCTGGGGCGCTCCCCCCCTCTTCCCCGGCCACACATGCAGGTCCACAATTGCCAGGAAGTCATGGGGCTCTGTCAAGCAGAGGAAGAGGGGGGCTTGGCGGGGACCCCAGTTCATCCCAGCCATAGGCCTCGACTGATGTGGGGACCCAGGTGCCCTACAGTCCCATGGTCCTGGGGACTTGGTAACCCCTTTCCCGAGACTTCCGGTTCACTTCCTTCCAAACCAAGGTGCAGGCAACAGCACAGCCCTCGTCATCCTTGGCCCTGAAGGTGGGGCTGGGGACACACAGGTGTTGGATCTACGAGAAGACAAACCCTTCCACAGTGCAGCGCCATAGCTCGGTTTGGTGGGGCGCTGGCACCAGAAGCACCTTCCACTCGGTTCTGACTCCCGGCCCTGCCCTGCTCTGGGAAAGACAGGTGAAGGAAAACATGCCCCCAACTCCAGAGGCTCCCAGGGAAACTGAGCACAAAGACACCGAGGATCGCAGTGACGGGCAAGAAGTGAGTAGAAGCAGCTCTCTTAAGAGGGAACAGAGGGCTATGGGAGGTCAGGGACAGCAGCGGCAATCTAAGTGGCTTATGTGGTGAAGGTAGCATTTGAGCTGAGCTGCAAGACAGGCAAAAGGGAACTGTCATCATTAGCCTAGCACCCCCTCCCTTACTGTCCTCACAGCTAAGGCAGCTCCTAGTGAAAATGCAGCCAGCCCATGTCTCATGCAGGAGTTTGGCGGCGGAAGCTGGCCCAGTGTGACTACAACCAAGCGCGTGTGTTTCCGGGGAAAGTGAGAAAAGCTGAGGCTGGGACTGCAGAGTTGGGTTTCATTTTCATTGGGTCAAGCTCAGGAATTTGGATTTTATACCGAAGAGGCCAAGATGCCACTGAAGGGTTCTGAGTGAGAGCGATGTGATTAGAACTGCTTTTTCCAAAGGTCGTTTTGCTGGGAGAAAAGATTTGCAAAATTCATCCCTGATACAGGATTATTCTTCCAACTACACAAAGAACTCTTACAAATCAACAATAAAAACAATTTAGAAATGGGTTAGAGAAAATGCCTCACCAGGGAAGACAGATGGCCAATAAAGGTATAAAGTGATTTGCAGTACCATACGCTAGGGAATTACAAATGTAAAAACAACAAGGAGATGCAACTACACACCTGTGGGTATGGCCCAAAATAAACACGGCTAATGCCACACTCTGGCAAGGATGGGGAGCAACAGGAATCCTGTTTATTACCTGTGGGAATGCAGAACGGCGTGAGCATTTTGAGGCTAGTTCGGCGGTTTCTACAGACCTGAACACACACTTAACACACAGTCTAGCGATAACTCCCGTGATTCGGATGCTTCCCTAAAGGAATTGAAAATGTACACTCACACCTGCACATGGATGTTTACAACAGCTTTTCCACAAGTACAGCTCATTGTACTTTCCTTCGTGTTTCTTGTGCCTGAGTCTTAGTTGGCCTTCTTGGATCTGGGATATATAGGGTTGTTTTTTTTTAAATCAAACTTAGTGAAACTTCAGCCATTGTTTCTTTAGTATTATACTATGTGTCCCCTCTCTCCTAGTAGCCCTTGAAGACCACTTGAAATTGTCCCACAGATCACTAATGAGATGCTCATTTTTCCCTCAGGTTTGCATCTCATTGGGCACCATGTGGGCTTTATTTTATGTATCTGTTGCCATGTTGTTAAATACACTAAAATCCTCTCTGGTCGCCACCCTTGTACTGCGAATCATACCCAGGGTGTTTTCATCTCAGACCCAGGATGGTGAGAACTGCGCTGGTGGCCGAAGAACCTGCACAGGGAGCTGGGGTAATCAGAGAAGGCTTCCTGGAGGAGGTGGCCATTGAGGTCAGAGTCAAATGTAGGCAGTAGAGGTCTTTCTGGAAGAAGTAGACAGAAGAGGCAGATGCCATGGCATCCCTGGCAGAGGGACCCTGCAAAGGTGGGCCACAGAGACCAGCATGGGCCCTCTTGGTGTGGACACTACTTGTTCAGAGTGCAGTGAAAGGCCTGAGGATGGGCTGGAATGCACCTAGAGGAAGCCTTGAAGGTCACAGTCGGTCTTCTGCTTTATTGAGGGGGAAACAGTGGGCAGAGATTGGAATCAAAATCCTGTCATAAAGCTCAAAAGCAAACAGAATTAAGACTAGAGTTCTGAATAAAAGTGAGGCTGCAAAGTCCTTGACTTGAAGTTACTTCTTCTCTTCGGGAATCAGCCGTCACATCTGAAACAAGAGAATGGAACATCACTTCTGTTTTGATACAGACGAGCTCCGATTTCTTTCTGCTGTCAGTGTGCATGACTCAGGCAATCCCTTTCAGGATCACTGGTGAGTCATCGATTGTTTTGGAGCAGAAGACGGACAGGAGATAGTGGTTAGTGAGTTGTAGAGAAAGGATATGGTAGGTGGACACGTGTGTGTTATCCCCATGCCTGGAAGAAATGAGGATAAAAGATGAACGGGGAAGTAACTCAAAGAGGACGTGTTTGAGAGTCTGTTTGGTAACCAAGAAAACATCAAATGATGGCTTCATCCCAGTGGGAATCCCCAAAGGGGGCCAAGATGTGACACCTAGCCAGTTCCTCTGAGCACTGTGATGAGGTGGGGGTCTGGCAGACTCTGATCCAAGTCTGTACTCTGTCACTAATGTGATTCTACAACCTTTGTGAGTCTTCATTTCTTCATCTAAAAATGGTAAGAATAATGACAAGATTCTTTGATTTGTGGTGAGGGTTACATATGAAAGCAAATATTTAAGGATATGAGTTTCAACACTCTAATAGCAAGATTTTTTTTAGTAGAAATTGACAAATTGATTCTAAAATTCAAATGGCCATACAAAGGACGTAGAAAGTTGGAACAATTTTGCCAAAGAAGAACGACCAGAAAAAGATCAGTGCTTCCTGGTATCATGACTTATTAGAGAGCTAGAGCAATCAGGAAAGTGTGATTTGGCATAAAGACAAATAGATCTATAGAAAAGAACACAAAGTATAGAAATAGACCCACACATAAATGGATACCTGATTTTTGAAAAAAGTGCAAAGGCAATTCTGCATAGTTTTCCAACAGATGATGTTAAAATAATTAGACACCCACATTTGAAGAAGAGGAAGAGAAGAAAAGGGAGAAGAAGCAGGAGGAGGAAGGAGAAGAAGGAGAGGAAAGGAAGGAGGAAGAGGAAGAGGAAAGAAGAAAGAGAAAGAAAAAGAAAGGAAAGAAAGAAAGAGGAAGGAAGGAAAGGAAGGAAGAAAGAAAGAAAGGAAAGAAAGAAAGAAAGAAAGAAAGAAAGAAAGAAAGAAAGAAAGAAAGAAAGAAAGAAAGAGAGAGAGAAGATATATATGCAGCAATCCTTTTCTATTTCCCTCAGTTTCAGGTACTGAAACTGAATCATAGTTTGAAAATATTAAAAGAAAAATTTCAAAACTAAATAACTCATAAGTTTTTCATCATTTGCCATTATAAGTAGTATGATGGAATCTCATGCTCTCCTTCTTCATCCTGCCTGGGACAGGAATTGTCCCTTTGTCCAGTGTATCCACACTGTATAGGTTACCTGCCTGTCAATCACTGAGTAGTTGTCTGGGTTATCAGATCGACTCTTATTGTATCACAGGTAATGCTTATAGAGTCACCTGGCATGGTGTCACAGTGCCTGGGTCACTCCTCCCTTTTACCTCATCATTGTATCACTGCACACTATCACAGGAAGAAAGAAGAGTACTATACAATAACATATTTGAGTAGAGAGAGACCAGATTCACAGAACTTTCATTATAGCATATTGTTATAGTTGTTCTATTTTATTATTAATCTTCACTGTGCCTAATTTATAAATTAAACTTTTTGATAGCTGTGTATTAATAAGGAAAAACATGACAGATACAAGATTCAGTAGTTAATATTCATAGTTCCAGGCAACCACTCAGGGTCTTAGAATGTATCTGCTACAGATAAGGAATGATGACTGTATATAAATTAATATAAAATTAATCATATTAACTTCAAAACTTAGAAAACAGTTCTTTCTTTACTTTCTTTATTCACTATGTCATCCAGGCTAGTCTCAAACTCATGTGATCCTCCTGCCTCAGCCTCCCAAGTGCTGATATTACAAGCATGCACCACCATGCCCGGCAGCAAATATTTCTTAAATAGGACAACTAAAGCAGTGTAAGAACAAATTGACCAAATTGATGTCAGCAAAATTAAAACCTACTCTCCCAGAGACACTGTTAAGAGAATTAATAGGTGAGCCACAGACTGGGAAAAATATTTGCAAGGCAAATGTCTGATAAAGAATTTTATATTCAGAATATATAAAAATCTCAGAATGCAATCATACAGGCTGAGGATCCAGCACTTACCTATCTTATGTTCCCAATCCTATAAAATAAAATCAAAACACGAACTCACGCACAATCTCTGTTGAGACAAAGAAGATACAAATGGCAAATAAGCACCTGAAGAGATGTGAGGCCACACTCTATACCCACGAGGACAGCTAGCATGAGACACTGACCAGATCAGCGTGGCTCCGGGAAATGTAGGATGATGTCACCACTTTGGAAAACAATTGGCAGGTTTAATACAATACAAAACTCGTATAGGATCTAGCCATTCCGTTCCTAGGTGTCTACCTACAAGAAAGCACATGTCTGTACAAAAATTTGTACACAGTTGTTCATGGCAGCTTTATTTGTAACACCCCAAAACTAGACATAATGCAGATGTCCACCAACAGAGAAGGGGATCAGCAAACCATGGTTTATATCCCTGCAATGGAATATGTACCCCTCGCCCATCCCAAGGAGTAGACTGCTGATAAGTACAGAATGGTTATGCTGAGGGAAAGAAGGCAGATTTCAAATGAGTACTGTAGGCTCCTAAGAACTATCTTAGTTACCACCATCATTGCTGAGACAAAATACCTGACATCCACAACCTACAGCACCACAGGTTTATTGTGGGGCACATTTCAGTCCATAGTCCACTGGCTCCAAGGCAGGCCAGCATGGCACAGGGGGCCTGGTGGAGGGCAGCTTCTCACAGCATGGTGGACAGGAAGCAGAGGGCACTAAGGGAGGAGCTGGGAAGGGACATAGAACCTTCCTTGCCATGCCCACAGTGGCCGCCTCTCCCGACCAGACCCACCTCCTAAAAGCAAATCAGCTCTAAGCCCCCAGGATCCAACCACCTTGCAAAAGCCCCATCTGTAAGCACATGAGGCTGTCGGGGGACATGGAGATGTATACCATAACAATAACACACATAACATAACATAACACACACTGTAAGAATTGCAAACTAACATACAGTGATATTGGCTGTAGTTGCCTGCATACAGGAAGAAGATGTTACAAAGATACACAAAAGAAATGTTTAGTTGATAGATTTGTTCCTTATGTGGATTACAGTGGCGGTTTCCTGTATGCTGAAATTTATCACTTTAGGTAGATGTGCTATATTGTATGTCAGTTATATGTCAATAAAGAAACAAAGGATGGTATGCTAGGTTGCACAGGCATGGATTAAACCCCACATTTAAATCTCAGTTTCGCCACTTACAGGCTGTGTGACCTTAGGTGAGTCATTCAGCATTCTCATCTGTAAAATGAGGTTGATGATATTCTTACCTTTCTTAAAAACTAGTAGGGGGGCCAGGGATTTAGCTCAGTGGCACTGCACCTGGCTTGCAAGCACGAGGTCCTGAGTTTGATCCCTGGTACCAAAAAAACCCAAAACTAGTAGGAACACAGAATGAAATAATACACGTAAAGTGCCTAATACAATGCTTGGGGCACACTAGGTGCTTGACGAAACGGCACCCGGTATTCATGCTCCATAAAGCTTCACTCTGTCTTCACCCTGACCTTCCCCCACCTCACGGAGCTCTCTGTGTCTGATCAGAAGTCTCAGTGCTCTAGACAAGCAGAGGTCACACGCTGCGCTGGGCAGGACCAGCCAGCTTCTGCGGGGCATGGTTCAGGTGGGACTCCCCTTTCATCTTGCCCCCATGTGGACATCCGCGCCCTCCCCTTCTCCTGCATCCACAAGTGCTGGGTGGCCGTGCAGCCAAGGAGCCTCAGTTCTCCCTCCAGGATGGAGCAGGCAGGAAGCCTTTGAATCCCTGGAGCAAAACTAAGGCTAGAACTTCCAAGACAGAACACGGCCTGCTCTGTGTGCCCACAGCAGCTGAAATCCTAGCAGGAGCCACCGAGACACCACAACCAACTGCTAACTTACTGTGGCAACAAAGGCGTCTCCTCGGAACTGACCTTGCGTTTCCTTTGAGTTCCTTGGTGGTGTGGTGGAGACGGAGGAGGGACAGAGCGAAGAGGCTTGGGGCAGCTGGGGTGGCGGCCAGACAGTGAGCTGGTTTTCAACGCATTTGCCATAAAAGGAGTCTGGGAAGCTTTGTAGGGAAGGTTTGCTTGTTTGCCGTCTGCCGGGTGGCAGGTGACCAGCTGGTTTTAAGGGTCGGGTCTGGCTCACAAATAAGCCCTAAGGGGCAGGGACTGGGCTCTGAAAGGCGCATCTCTTGAGACGAATGTGTCCAAACATCACCCGCACACTGGGATCCTGGGAACTCGGGACGGAGTCCTTACATCTCCTAGGTTTCACAAGCACCCCTAGGAGCCCTTCTTAACCCCACACCAAGCTGGACAGGCTCCTGCTCTTCTTGTTTGTCAGGTCAGGCGTGGGAGCCGCGGAACGCACTTGAGCTTCTGAGTCAGAAACCTCCACAGTCAACAAATCTTCAGACGCGTGCGGAGCGTGTGGCAGGGCCGGGGCGCAGCGGGAAGACGGCCCATGGAACCCGCACGGAGAAGGCTGGCAGCCGCGATTTGGGGCTAGCCCATCTTGCCGCTGACCTTGGGGAAGCTGCTGAACTTTGGGGGCTTCAGGTTTTGCCTCTGAAAAATGGAATCATAACCTATTACTCAAACAATCACTGTAAGACAAAGTGGAATGAACTGGGTAACATATGTCACATCCCGGACACCACACAGCTCGCCACGAGGACTGTCCAGGTGGGCAGAGTGGAGCCCAGTCTGGCTCAGCTTCTCACTGGACCTGCATTTGATGACGAGAGCCAAGGGGGAGCCTGGGAACCCTGCTCCTGCAGCTGTGAGTCTTCTGGAACGGGGACAATCCAGCGGCTGCACTACCTAAAATCTAGCTCTCTCCCAAAGAAGGGGCCCCCGGTTCCATTAAATAGGTGGCTTTGGAAAGTGCTGTATAAATTTGAGTTGCTCCCACTCATTTAACACACCTTTGTGAGCACTTTTCATGGGCCAGAAGCCGGGAACGTGATGTTGCTATGACCCCCTACCTCAAGAAATGCCCAATTCTTGGGCCGGGGATTTAGCTCAGTGGTTCCGCCACCTGCCCTGCAAGCGCAAGGACCCGAGTTCGATCCCTAGTACTGAAAAAAAATAAAATAAAATAAAGAAATGCCCGATCCAGTGTGGGGGCTCCAGCCAAGTGTCAGGCAGCTACAGGGCCAAGGGCGTTTTGGGGTCACAGAGGAGGCCCCTAGGGGGGTGACGTCCCGCCGGCCACCCACCACAGTGGCCCAACACACGGTGCAGGTCTGCCCCTGCCCTCCCTCACTGTGCCACAGCCTAGACTCCATCAGCCCTGAGCTACTGCAGTCACCTGTCAGGCTCCCAGGTCTCCCTGCTGAGTCCAACACGCCCGGCCATGCCACTGACTCCAACAGAGCTCTCAACACTGCACTTCTGGGCTGAGAAGCCTCACGGGTCCAGTGGTTTGCAGAGGTGGCCTCAGTGGCAGAGCCTGAACTTCCCGTCCAAGCCGAGTTCACACCCTGCCTCTCTGCTCCAGTGAAATGCCTCCCTGCTCACACTCGGCCCGCACTGCTGTTCCCAACCCCATGACCTGCCCCGCCCCTCCCAGGAGAGCACCCCTTCCTGTTTCAGGCACCAAGAAACCCATAATTTTATATGTAGTACGTGTCATGATTTGTTGTCACCAGGGTTTGCAAGGGAGCAGATTTAATTCAAGACACATAATTCATAGGGTTATTTTATGATATTCACCCCGAAAGTCAAATGCAGAAGAGTGCAAGAGAACTGTCCACACAGTAGAGACTCAAAAAACTCTAGCTAAGGGCCTCGAATCCCACACAAGTTCAGCTGCAGGCTTACAGCCCAAGGCAGTGTCTCATGCGAGTCCTTACTGAGGATCTGCACCGGAAAGGCCCAAAGGCCACCGGGGGAAACTAGAAAGCCTGCCCCAGTTGGGTGAAGAGTCTGTGCCACCAGGCTGAGGGATCTGCACTGGAGCCAGGATCTGCACTGGAGCCAGGAAGACCTTCAAGCTGAAGACCAGAGCTCCCCTCATGAGTATAGCAGCCACTCCCAGAGACAGGGAGGACCCAAGCTCCTTTTCTGACAAGAACAGCCAAGCTCACATCAGGAAAACCAGCTGTGACAATCTTCTCCATGAAAATCAGCAGCCAGCAATCCTTCCCCTCCAGTTGTTTTGTTATGCCTTTGTCAGCAGTCCTCAGGTGGGTCTTCCAGGCCCAAACCAAGCTGACTTGGTTCAGCTGGGCGTTCCAAGGGGACCATCAGTTAATCCCCACATAGTTTAGATCTAGATGTCCCCAAAGTGTCTCATGCAGTTATAAGCAGGGCTTCTGGGAAGGTGATTGGGTTGCAGGCATTTATAGCTGACTTGCTGTTAGGGATTGGGGTCTTGTCAGAAGAGGGGAGTCACTGGGGGTGGAAGGGTTCATCTCCCTCCAGGCTCCTCCCTTCACTTCTGCTTCCTGCTCGCCATGCCATGAGCTGCTCTCCTCTGCCATGTCTCTGTACCCTGCTGCCCTGCCTTGGAGCCAGGATTGACACCTCAGTGAGCCAAAATAAACCTCTCCTCTGATAAGTTGCAGGTGTCAGTTTCTGTGTCTCGGTGACCAGAAAGTGACTAAGATGATGTGGTGAACTAACTAATGGTCAACTTGAGTGGGGATGCCCAGCTGGACTGAGCTGGCGAGGTTCTAGGGGTGTGGAAGACCCGCCTGGGGATTGCTGCTGGAATGACATGAAAGGAAAACAGGAAGGGAAGGTGCGTGCTGCTGATTTCCCAGCAGAAGCTTTGTTGTGGCTGGTTTGCCTGATACAAACTCAGCTGTTGTTGTCCTTGGAGCTCGGGTCCTTGCTGTCACCCAGGGTGGCTGCTGTACTCCTCAGGGGAGCTCTGGTCTTTACCTTGAGTGTCACTTCCTGGCTCCAGCGCAGATCCCTCAGCCTGGTGCCACACATCCTTCACCCCACTGGGGCGGAGTCTCTGGCTTCCACCCCTGGTCTTGGGTCTTCCAGGTGCAGATCCTCAATGCGGACTTGCATGGGACATTGCCGTGGGCTCCAGGGCTCCAGCCAGATTCGAGGAGGACACTGCTGTGGGAGCCAGGCCCTCGGCTGGATTCTTCGGGTTTCTAGCATGCAGACAGATCTCTTGCACTCTTCTGCCTTTGACTTTTGGGGTGACTATTATAAGATACACCTATAAGCTTATGTGTCCTATATCAAATCTATTCTCTTGCAAAACCTGACTACAACAGATGATATATATACATATTCATATATAACACAAATCAGTCTTCCCCTGTGAACTGTCACACTGATTCCTATTGATAGTTCTGGCTTAAGGAGGGAAACTTCCCACCATGGGTGGGCTTGCTGTGGCACCATTCATATCCATCCTTCTACAGAGTTCTCTTCACAGCCACGACTCCTTACAGTCACTCAGGAAAGAAGGCTGTGTGTGTGTGTGTGTGTGTGTGCGCGCGCGCGCGCGCACGCGCACGCGTTTGCGATTATTCCCATTTTACAGATAAGGAAACGTGATGTGCCCAAATGAATGAATGGTCCTGTGGAAAGGTGAATTCAAGATCTGCTCCTCACATCCCGAGTTCCTTCCCACAGCACACACAACTTTGAGAACCCACATTCTTTTTCACCAAGGAGAGCCAGGTGGTTAATGCACACTGTGAACAGTGGTAGGCAACCTTCTGGACACCGTGGCCAATGTCCTGGTGGATGTGGGTGGCTGCTGGTCAGGCTTAGCCTGCTCAGAGAGAGCTTCACATTCTACACCCCTCATGCAGCCAGATGCGCGGGATATGGAGTCAACATTAGTTAGGCAGTGGCACCGGGGAGCACAGGGCCTTCTCAGCCACCGCCATTCCTGACTTCGAGGAACACCTCAGTGGATAAAGATGATCTGCAAACCACCTAGCTTAGGGCAGAAGGTAGAAAAATGATACACAGACCAGGACCACTGTGCCGCAGTGCTTACCCGCAGTGGTGTGGGGCAGTGACAGGATCAAGAAATCTCACAGGGAGGCAGTGAGATTTGCCACCAATTGAGATGAGGACAGATGGGCAAAGGGTAGGTCGGCCCGAGGCAGCTCTGGGCCCAGGGGTGAGGAAGATGGGAGTGGAGGGGACTTGCCCACTCCCAAAGATTCCCTTGCTCTCCTACTGCTGCTCTGAACTTCGTTTACTGACAAGAACGGAGGGCTGTTTGGCCTGATAACAGATTTAAATGGGGTCTTTTATTCGGTCCCAGGCTCATAATTTGATTAATGAAGTTGACATTTAAGATTTTTTTCAGATAGAAAATACGGGGTGATTTTGAAAGCACGTGATCCCAGATGGATTTATGATTTAAAAAACCAAACTGAACCATGGTTTTCCTTGCTCCTGCTGTAAACCAACCTAACACTTGTGATGCACTCTCTGAAACCACAAAAAAAGGCGAGGGAAGCCAGCATTGCCTGAGGCCTGGCTTCCTGCCTGACTGGGCTTCCCTGCTGCTGGGAACACGACTGGGCCCCCAGAGTCAGCATGGCGAGGTGCAGCCGGAAGGAGATGAGGGGAGAGCAGGATCCAGCTGGTGAGGCTGCAGGCAAAGTCACTCTGAGGGCGAAGAGACCTCAAGGGGCAGGCACAGCCCCTCCAAGCCCTGAAGGAGCTATTGAGATTTAACTGTGCAAACCCACGTGGCTGATGGGAAGGGCACAGGAGGGGCTCAAGGGGGCTTCTTTTCCTTTCTTCCTTTTCTCTTTTTTCTTTTGTTCCCCCCAACGGATGGAAGAAAAGAAACCATGCGTCTGCCTGCTGCAGCCCGGGGACTTTCTTAGGGTTCTCTGTGTAGTGTTATTTGAAAAAAGACAAAACCCCCAAACAAAACACAGTTGTATTAACACAAAAGTCCAACTCCACGGTTGAAATCTCCCTTTCCATTCCCAGGGACCGGTTTCCCAAATGAACCCCGGCTGTCTGGGCAGACAATGGGGTCCCCGAGGAGCTGCACGTGATCAGACCAGCCAGCAAGGGGCGGGTGGGTCAGTGGCATCCCCGTGACCTCCCCTCCTGCAGGAATGGGGGAGGGGAGTGTTCCATCCTTCGCTGCCTCCCGTGGGTAGGAGGTGATGTCCGAGTCACCAGATTTCCTTGTGTTTGTCTGCAGCCTCAGCACCCAGCACGGGGCGCGGGGACACCCCTGCTATGGGTACACATGTGTGCACGTCATCTCATGGAGTT